CGTATTATATGGCTAAAGCTATGCCATATTGAATTTCATGCAATTCAGTTCATAACTAACGGAGATGTAAAAGCGATCGAACATTTCTAAACAAAGTTATCGTTCACACGGATAGATAGATGGACAGACAGACAAAGGAACAGACGGAGAGACCAACCGGCAGGCGACAGATAGCAATGCAAAATTATCAACGATCTCTAGGATCGTTAATAAACGGCAAAAGTGTAAAATTATGGAACATGTAAAAAACGGTTTTTTGTTTTTTTTACAATAACTTTTTTTGTAAGCGGTACAGAAAAAATGCCTTCCTTGGTACAAGACTCGACACCATAACGAACCAAATAGCGAAAAAAGTAGAACAATAGCTCTTAAGATAAAGAACTAGTAGCGTCGCAAAACGAGCGGACGGACGGACGGACGGACGGACAAAGTGGCCACAATAGCGCATTTTTTTTTATTTTTGTGGAAATGCGCTAAAAATAAATGAATATTCATATTTAAAATAAGTAAATACGTACCTACTTTAATGAAATTGAATCATTTCGAATAATCATAGCATGTGCACGTCTATACAGGGTGGCTAGAAAGTAATGGAACGAGGCTCTCCTGCCGAAACGAATTGAGGTATCGATTTCAAGTTTAAACAAGCTTAAAAAGTCATTATGCAAACATAAATGACGAGAGCGTATTTTCCTCCTAATAATATTAATAACCAACACTTTTTAAATTGTATTTGATTGTATTTTTTTGTGTCTGACGTATCCTATACAATTCAAAATTTGTCTTGGGAATTAATATATATTATTATTATTGTTATGAATGCTAGGTCCAGGAAAAAATACCGGTAGACACGAGATCCTTACCCCATTCTCTTTCAAATGAGCCGCCTATCGTCGAAGTCTATACAGTTTAATGAAAAATAGTGGAGCGTATACAAATACATACAAATTTGGAAATGGGCATCAGTTTTACTTTTATTCGAAGTGTCTACATATGGAACTTTTTTATAAATGCATGTAAATAGCATTGCGCATTGTCTACATTGGAAATTTCATTGAATACCTTCATAAATAAAACATACAACATGCGTTAACAGTAATTTTGAAACCGGTACTAGTTTTAGTTTCATTCAAGGGGCCTACATAATATGATATTTCGTTTAACTGCTTTCATAAATAAGAAAGTTGCCATTGCGCATGCGCAAAATCAAATTTTAAAACTGGTGTTAGATTTGCTTGTATTCCAAGTGCATATGTATTAAATTTCATTTAAATGCTTCAGTAAATAAGGAAGTTGGCATTGCGCATGCGCAAAACAACATTTTGGAAACGTCGTTAATTTTACTTATATTCGTAGTGTTGATGTATAAAGTTTCATTTAAATACCTTCATAAATAAAAAAGTTAGCATCGCGCATGCGTTAAACCAAATTTTTGACACTGCGCATGCGCAAACCCAAAAATATGGGTATGCACGGAATCCTTGGACCAAGCCCTTTCAAATGAGTCCTATATCGCCAAAATCGGTTCAGTGGTTTCGAAGGAGTACGTGTGGCGGACAGACGGACGGACGGACGTCAAAGTGCAGCCAATAGCGATTTTTCACTTTGAGGAAAATACGCTAAAAACTTCAATGTGCACGTTTCGGAGTAAAAAAGAAATTTCTTGATAAGCTAATTTTGAGGGTGGTCGAATTTTTTTTAATGACAACATAAGTCATGCGAAGCCTCAATGGAAAGCATCTTGTTTTTTGTGTGCAAGCGACTAGGAGGCGATAGCTATTTTTTTGCTCCTTCAGGGGGCGATGCTTCAGAAAAGGTTGGGAATCTATGTTCTAGATGATAGTGCGAGGGCCCTACATTTTACGTTGTGCCCGTAAGGTTGCCAGATCTTTTATTTGAAGTAGCACAGAGACACAGTATAATAAGACATAGTGTTTTTAGTTTAATTAAGATTTTTAAAATTATTTTTAAAATGACCCAAACATTTTACAATAAATGCGCCACGGAAGAGACAATCTCCCTTGACAATTAGAAAGCGCACGGGCGTTCCTGAATAGTCAAATGGCATTTTATACCAACAAGAAATGCTTTAATAACTTGAAGAATTATTAAAAGCTTTCGTCATTTGGAAAACGTTATGTCCAAAGATATTATTCAAAGTGATGCATTAGTAAGAACAAATTTTTCTTAGCTAATGATCTGAACAAAATAATCTGAATAAACTGTGGTCAAATTGCTACTCACCTCGACCAGGTCTTTTATTTATATATTTATTTATTTATTTATAAGAGCTGAGAGTCTTCCACAGCGGTAGTTCGTT